GGAACGGGGTGGTTTTTAGTCAGTAAGAGTTTGACACTCCCTCCCGCGTCACCTAGGCGGGAGCCTAGAATTACCGATTCTGTTCTTTAGCAGATTTTCAACCTTAACAACTTTGCAATAGCGTTGAAGGTTCATAATGCATTTGTATGTATCTATAGTTATTGTTTTAATTAAAAAATACCTATGTATGTATGTTAAAACTGCATAATAAGTGTAGTGTCTGTATACAGAGTGTTACAGAACGGATTTTCGATGAAAAACAACGTTAAATTTTATTGACCAAAAATACTATACGAAGAAAGAGTCGTGTTCATTGTCAAATACTCTAAAAACTATTTCTACCAAGTTTTAAACTAAGTGAAATGTATTGATATTTGTTTTTCGTTTAAAATACAATGTTTCACATACATACATTGAAAATATCTTACCAAAAATCAACAATAAAACACTTAACTAACTTTTAAAAATGCTTCCATTGGTGGCATGGGTGCATTTATTTTTTTACAATATTTCTGGTCGAAAAGATGTATAAACGTACAAAACGCGTTTTGTATCGAAAATCCGATACCGAACACTCTGTATAATGTCAAAAAGAATGCAAAGCGATTGTAAAATTAGAAGTACGTAAGTAACGGTTGATATTTAATCAAAGATTTAAATAAAAATTAGTTAAAATAAAATAAAAAATAATTCGAACAACATCAATGTGTACCTATAGAAATGTACCAAAGTGTTTTAAGCGAAATAAATTATTTTAAAATGTATTTTCTTTTTGTTTAATTTGATAATTATGTCCCAAAAAAGGTAACAGGTAATATTTTTGATAGTGACCTGATCACAGCTTGAGGGTTTGATTCCTGATTTTATCATTAATAAAGTTAAAGTCGAGGCGTTCGTCCCTGGCGGTATAAATGTGACTGATAACATTATAAATAGCCCTTCATAGTTCGCTACACCACCTTAAAATGGTGGTCCACGGCAAGACGCACTCGTTGAAGACCTTTGTCTTCAGGCTTTGCGATAGAGTTGACGAAAAGACCGGATAGAGTTTCCTATATGCCGCTCAGCCAAGCTGTATCTTTCCACAAGTCTCCTTTTCGAAGCTGTTTCTACCAAACTGTAGTGTTTGTCCTAGGTAGACATGTTCCTGAACAACCTCGAGAGGAAACCCATTGAGGATGATCGGCTCCGGAAAAACACGTTTTTTTTATGGGATAAGCCGGTAAAAGAGCAGACGGATCACCTGATGGTAAGCAATCGTCGTCGCCCATGGACACCTGGAACACCAGAGGCGTTACAAGTGCGTTACCGGCCTTTTGGGATTAGGAGTTTAAGAATCGTTGGGGATTCGGGGAGATTGGGAAAGGGGAGGGGAGTAATTGGGCTTCCGGTAACCTCACTCACATGACGAAACACAACGCAAGCGTTTCTTCACGTCGGTTTTCTGTGAGGCCGTCATCACTAGGCTTGTGTAGTTCGCGAACGAACTAGTTCAAAAGAGCGCTCCGACATTCAAAATATGCGAACTAGTTCACGTCATTCCCAACTCCTTAGTTCCTTAGTTCGTATTTCAAAGTACAAGTACAAGGATTGTGAAGTCGTTTATATGGTGTATAGTCTATGGTGAAGACCGAACTAAAAAATGCGATAACATATGATCTCATTTGAAAATTATATAATATTTCATTGCGTGCAGGAACTTGCATCAAAACTAGGGAGCGATTTGGCTGCCAGTGCCTTCCTAGTTCCTATGCGATTCATTCCAAATCCAACTGGGAGTCGGGAGCTGACGAACTAGGGAGCGATTTGGTTGCCAGTGCCTTCCTAGTTCCTATGCGATTCATTTCCAATTCCAACTCCAACTGGGAGTCGGGAGCTGACGAACACGAACTAAAAGAGCGAACTAGTTCGTTTAGGAGCGGCGAACTGATCTGAGTGATTTTAGTCGCGAACTATTAAGCACAAGACTAGTCATCACTCCGATCGAGCCGGCCCATTCGTGCTGAAGCATGGCTGTCCCACACTAAAATGGTTCATTAAACATCACCTTTGTTTTGTCTAGGTTATTTACCTTTACGCTTTATCTACTTCTTATTAATGAGATAGGTCGGCAAACTGATGGATCACCTGATGGTAAGCACCCAACGCCGCCCATGGACACACACAGCATCAGATTAAACAAAAAAATAATATTATTTTTAAACTGTGTGTCAAAAATGTCTGCAAGTGACGTCACGGACAAAAGCTAGAACATTTTTATAAGTAGGTGAAGATTGCACAAACATATTGTTCGTATTAAATTATGAACAAATGTTCTGTTGAAACAACTGGCTACATTGGCGATTTACGTAAAATTTATTGGCAAAATAATATATTACTAATTACAAGAAGTAGGTACCTATGCATGTTTTGAAAGATCATCTGATGAAATTAAGTTTAATTTTTACAAGATTTCCAAATAGATGGTTGGCAGCTTTTAGCTGATACGACCTACAAGGAAAGATCGTACCTATTCCTACGGCAACGCACTGAGCTTTATCTGCCTTAACTGAGCACTTGGCCTTTTTGCACCGTGCACACTTTTACCATTTTTGTTATTGTATTACTATTCTTCTTGTTTTTTAATTTGTGACAATGCAAATAAACAATTGTTCTTCCTTCTTTCTTTCTTCTTCTTCTTTCAGTGTATACCCTTCAGGATACACAGACTATGGCCAAGAAAGAAAGAAAGGAACTTTATTTCACGCAAAAAACAAGCGACATGTACAGATAAATCATTCTATTAGTAGGAACTGATGGATACATGTTCATGTTCCAAGTCTACGGTGAAATGGGACCAGTTCAGCATGTGCAAGACTGGGCCTATTTTTTTTAAGGAGGGAAAATCATCGAATGACTGCTCCCGCCTGGGTGAGGCGGGAGGGAGTGTCAGACTCTTACTGACTAAAAACCACCCCGTTCCTTCTCTTGCACGTCGAGCCGGAGCCCCGGTAACCCGTTAGGTTCTCCGCGACTAAGACAGGGCCTCGCGCTGGTATTCTACTGACTAAAGAGTGCCACTTATTAGCGGTTCGCACAACGAATCTTCTATGATCCGTACCTAGATAAAACATATCCGGGTTTCCGACGTCAATATCCTCTTTATAATTTTAATAAAGAGATCCTATTTGCTTACGTAGCTCCGTAGTACATAACT